ATTGACCTCTTTTGCTGAGACTTACCCAAATTTGGCCATTTTAGTCCAAATATCAATGAGGGGTTTTATAGGTTTGATACCAGGCCGAGAAATACCATCATCGACTTGAGGTCCTGAACCATGTTAGAACTACTAATTTGTAAGCTCAAGCTAGTTTACAGAGCTAACCTGTCTGGAGAGTTTTTGGTCGGCTTACTGAGAGTGGTTGACAAGGTAAAGCTATTCGAAATACTATTATGAATTCCAAGTTTCACATCGGCAGGAATCCAATTAGTGCAATAGAGTTGATAAACCTTTAGGAACTTTGGCAACTTATTAAGAAGGCTGTAACTCACATCTGCGTTGACTGTGCTATGGAAACTCTAAAGTGATATTATCATTCATTTCTTGCCTGATTACTCTTCTGTAGTTGCTTTGGTTTAGTCTATTATATCATCCTCTTCGAAGAAACATGTAAGAGCTGTGAAGTTTCATATTTCTTCTGTATCGGATTACTACTCATGTTACCTCTTGATCTAAGAAAAAGATTTACAGAAGTGGTTAGTAATCCTATGAGTTAATGCAGGTATGGAAGTGCAGCTACTGAGGTTGACTTTGTATTTATGTTCCGAGGGTTGAATGTAGGAGGTATTTTCGACGTTTAAGTAATTGATTTCTGTGTATGTGTTCAGTTATCTGATCAATTGATCGTGTTAGAGATTGAATGAACATAATTCTCTTTTTTCTTTCCTTCAGTTCAAATACTGTCAGGATGAACTTCAAGTTTTATCAGATTTCCGTTTATCTATGTCAAGTTCATTCTATAAATGACCATTTTTGCAACACTAGTGATAATTCTAGTCCCTTATATGGAACCTCTCTGCTTTGAACAGGTGACAAATATCTCAAGTCAGTTGTAATATCAGAGCCTGAAATTACTTTCACCAGAAGAGAATCAGATGACGAATGTTTAATACTTGCAAGTGATGGTTTGTGGGATGTTCTTTCAAGTGAGTTGGCTTGTGAGGTAACTCGAGAATGTCTCCAAGAAAGAACGGCCGCCGCTGTTGCTGCTACTACTACGATAGACCTCAACGCCGAGCCTCAAATTGAAGAAGGGGCTGGAACTTCATATCCTTCTCGAAGTTCACTGGCTGCTGCACTGCTTACTCGTCTTGCTTTGGGGCGGAGAAGCATGGACAACATCAGTGTTATAGTTATTTATCTAAAGAGGAGCTGAGCAGAAAAATTGAAGTGGTAAATGTTTAACATGTGTATGGACGTTGTACAGCCCTTCTCTAAATTGGAAACGGAATTTGGAGTTTGATCCATTAAAACAGCTCCTCGTAGTTTGGAACTTATTTCTCTACTTTGTAGATGTGCGATTGAATTCATTAGTTGAAAGGTGTGTTCTAGAGTCTTATTGGTCGATGTTTTGCTACTTTATGTGATCATGAAGCACAAAAGAAGTGATGATTGGAAGAATTGAGCCATGGAATCCAAAATTTTTGTGGCCACATGATTGGCATCTGCATATTGTAAAGAATGTTGTTTTCGAAGTAGCAGGAGCAGCTTCAGCTACTTCTAAAAGCGAGTCTTTGTCGGTGATTTACAGGAAGGGTTAAGTGATTCAAACCATTTCAAAACACAGTCTTGTCTTAAGAACCAATGGAATGTGACAGAAAATTCTTGGTTCTTGCTATATGCAGGAAGGTGTAGCCTGGAGAAGCTGAAGATCTGTGTTGGATTACTCGACTTGGAGGCCTAATTAGTTGTGTTATTCAACAAAGAGAAAAGTGTGCTAAAAATTTTCGTAAGGAGAATTATTGAAGGGTTGATCCAGAGCCGAGAGAGAAAGAGCGTAGAGTATGGTCCCACAGCTTTGTTTTCATCCAATGAATGGTCTTTTGATCTGAAAGCCTCTAATTTGTCTGATACGATCAATTCATGCTTCCTTTCACACTCTAGAGGAGAGAGATGCGCACGTGAGATTGATGGGTCATGGCACGTGACACCTATAACCCCTCCCTTGGCTTTATCTCAATCTCCATCGGATCACCAACTAGATTGCGGGTAAATTTCCAACCTACCCATCCTTTTATGTTCTATAGATTATTGAATTCTTACAAACTCGAACCGTGGTAGATGAACATCTCGAACCGTGTGATTGCGGGTAAATCTCCATCTAGAGTACTATCACTTTCAAAGGGGTGGTTAGGAGTCTTTTTCCTAATTTTGTTTTACTTGGTTGATTTTTGGTATTATTTTTACTACCATAGTGATTTCTGAAATTTAATAAGCTGGGAGTTGGAGGGCATTTAACGTAATTTTGTATTCAAAACTGTGGAAAAAAGGTGATTAGATTTGAGATGAGGATGAAGAAATGAAGGGTAGCGAGGGAAATTGATGGATTTAAGAATGGGCCCACACCCTTTGAATTGAACAAAACCAAACAAAAGAAAACGACCAAATTCACTTTTCAATATTCAAATTATTTCTCTGACTGTTTCTCAAAGTATTGATCCCTTCGATAATTTATAGTTTTAATTAATATTTAAGCTTATAGATTTGAGTACTTCACATTATTTTCTAAAACATAATAATATTATACGGAAGAAAGAGAGGTGATAATCGGTATCAAACAACGATGCAATGTAGACTTTTTAAAGGTCTTTTCACGTTTTCATGAAATTATGCAAAAGGGAAAATCTAACAACTTCCCATAAATAATAATATCTAAATTAAAAGAAGAAAAAGAAAAAAGGAAAAGAACTCCAACGCTCCTTGCCTTCTTCTTCTTCTTCGTCGTCGTCGTTGAAAATTCTGGATTTATTTCCGTCATGGAGACAACTTTCTGCTGTTAATCTTACTGAAACAGAAAGAACCCAACGAGAATTCTGTCGGATTTCTTCGCAGGATGCCATCTCGGTCTATTTCGCCGTCTCCTTCTCCTTCTTCTGTACATACCCACCACCATGCTCTGTCCACTCATCTTCTTCCCCCAATCGTTGCCGCTTCCACCGCCGCCTTCTCCTTCTTCCTCTTTCTCATTATTCTGTTCCGTAAAGTGACTCGTAAACGTACTGCCCCTGCTGATTCCAAACCCCCGCATCGCTTTTCTTACTCCCTTCTCCGCCGTGCCACTGAATCTTTCTCCCCTTCTCGCCGCCTCGGTCAAGGCGGCTTTGGGTCTGTTTACTATGGTACTCTGCCGCAAACCCATAAGGAAATTGCGGTCAAACTTATGGATTCTGGATCGTTACAAGGCGAAAGGGAATTTCAGAACGAGTTGTTCTTTGCCACCAAGATTGATTCGTCTTACGTCGCTAGTGTTCTTGGGTTTTGCTCTGACCAGAAGCGGCGCAGGATGTTGTTAGTTTATGAGCTTTTGAATAATGGTAATTTGCAAGACGCTTTGTTGCATAGGAAGTGTCCTGAGCTTATGGAGTGGAAGAAACGGTTTTCAATTGCGGTTGATATTGCAAAGGGATTAGAGCATCTTCATGGGTTAGATCCGCCTGTAATTCATGGTGATATCAAGCCTAGTAATGTGCTGTTAGATCATTGCTTCTCGGCAAAAATTGGGGATTTTGGGCTTGCTAGGTTGAAGCTAGAGAATAGTCAATTTGAAGTTGAGGTGAAGGTAAATGCAGTGGAGGAGGAGAAGAAGGAAAGAAAAGAAGAACATGACAGCAACCGTGGTTGTGCAGTTGAAGATTGTGGATCCGTGGCAGAGGAAGCTGAGAGCGTAGCCACCGGCTTTGAGGAATTCAACGTCGTGGGTGTTGATCAGTCACCTGAGAGCTGTTTAAGAATTCCTGTTTCAGAGACTTCACCAGAGACAGTGGATGTCGCCACGACTTCGCCAGAGACTGCTTTGGGGGCTGCAGCGATGGTATACCCCTCAGAAGGGGTTTTTGACAGAGCTAACAGTGTGGAGAAGAAAAGTGGAGATGGTAGCAGTGGGAATGTGAAGGAATATGTTATGGAGTGGATTGGATCAGAGATCAAGGCTGAGAGGCCGAAAAGCGAATGGATTGCAACCTCGTCGGTAAAGAAGTCAGAGAAAAAGAAGAACAAGAAGCGATTAGATTGGTGGATGTCTATGGATGATGAAAAGAGTACCAAGAATCTGAGAAAGGAGAAGAGAAGGCCAGCGAGGGAGTGGTGGAAGGAGGAGTATTGTGAAGAGCTAGCAAAGAAGAGGAAGAAAAAGAAGCCCCAAAAAGAGGGTGACTTCTGGCCAGTGGATGATGAAATGTACAGAGAGAAAAAGAAGAGGAATAGAAGCAAAAACCATGGCAGCCGAGGTAGCATCGATTGGTGGTTAGATGGGCTTAGCGGCGAACTCTGGAGAGCTCGTGGGAACAGCCATGATGATATTCCCAAGAGTGGTGGCATTAGTAGCACTCCAAGTATGAGAGGAACCATGTGCTACATTGCCCCTGAATATGGCGGCGGTGCAGATCTTTCTGAGAAATCCGATGTTTATAGCTATGGAGTTTTATTGTTAGTTGTTATAGCTGGAAGAAGACCCTTACAGGTCACAAATTCACCGTTATCAGAATTCCAGCGGGCCAATCTCTTATCGTGGGCTCGTCATCTCGCTAGAGCTGGAAAGCTGATCGATTTGGTTGATCAGTCAATTCAGTGTTTAGATCGAGATCAAGCTCTTCTTTGTATCAAGGTTGCCCTGATTTGTGTGCAGAAATTTCCTGCTCGCAGACCCTCCATGAAAGAGGTCGTGGGGATGCTAACCGGTGGGTTGGAGGCACCCCAACTACCAGCCGAACTGTCCCCATCGCCTCCATCTCGCTTCCCTGTTAAGTTGCATAGGAAGACTCGATGAAACAAAGCCTTTTCTTGTATATGATGATACTCTGTTTTAGATAATTTATTCATCATCTTTGTAGGTGATTGGTGTGGGAATCTAATCAAATAGAAAAAGAAAGATTGTATGTTTGAGATATGAGTTGTTCGTGATATCTTGTTTCCTTCAGTCTTGGCGTCTTGGCGGTGATGAGAACTCATAAGATATTTGTATATAAACAAGTTAAGGTGGATAGAAATAGTGTTGGTGACAACAGAAAACTGAATTGAGATTGAGAGGAGGAGTGATTTGAATGATGGGGAGGGAGGTCCTTTTATAGGGGATTCCAGAGTGGGTTGAGATTTTCTAGGGTGATTCTGTAGTCGGTTGAGATTTTTGTGGATGAATTTGAATTTGAAACCAATTCAAATTCTATTCTATTATTAGTTATTATTACTTTCAACACCCTCCCTTAAACTGAATTCTGCGAAATCAGTTTAGGACTTCATTTCATCTTCTTGATATACATCTTGGATTCTGCATATCCCCATCTTTCTTCTGAGCTTTTCGAACAATGGTTGTTTCAAGGGCTTTGTGAATAGGTCTGCGATTTGTTCATCACTTCGGCAAAAGTTGAGTTCAATAATGCCTTCTTTACACAAATCACGCAAGAAATGAAATCGAACATCGATGTGCTTGCTCCTTCCATGTAACACAGGATTTTTAGACAACTTAATAGTTGACATATTATCACAATATATAACCGTCGTACTTGGTTGCTTCTGATTAAGAATTTCAAGCATTTTTCTTAACCAAACTGCTTGGCACGAGCATGCTGCTGCTGCCACAAATTCTGCTTCTGTCGTTGAGAGTGTTACAATAGGTTGCTTCTTTGAAGACCAGCAAATAGCTCCTGAACTCATCAAGAAAATACTTCCTGAAGTACTTTTACGATCGTCTATATCACCTGCATAGTCGCTATCTGTATAGCCAACTATCTTCGGATCATCTCCTTTTTTGTAGAATACCCCTAAATCAGAGGTTCCTCTCACATAACGAAGTATCCTTCTTGCTGCATTGAGATGTTTTTCCGTTGGATGCTCCATGTAACGACTTATCATACTAACCGCATACATGATGTCTGGTCTTGTTGAAGTTAGATACATCAAACTTCCCACAATTTGTTTGAAATACCTATTATCAACCTCTCGCCCGTCAATGTCCTTGTGCAACTTTAAACCCAATTCTGATGGAGTTCCAAATGTGCGCTCATCCAATTTAAATCTTTCAAGTAATTCTTGAGCATACTTCTTCTGACAGATAAAGTTACCTGCGGGAGTTTGAGTAACTTCTACTCCAAGAAAATATCTCATCAAGCCAAGATCTGTCATTTCAAATTCCTTCATCATGCTCTTCTTAAAAAATTCAAACATTTCTTCATTATTGCCTGTAAATATTAAATCATCAACGTATAAGCAAATAATGATAATGTTACCTCCCTTTTCAGTTTTCACATACAAC